AAAAAAAAAGTTCTACTGATTTTTGAGTTCCATACACCAGGGGTTGTCAACCGGGGGTATGCCCTAGGGGTACTTTGTAAGATCCCAGGGGATACGTGGGGACAGAGCACCACCATCCCACACTGCTGCAGAGGAGCTAGGCTGGGGCATGGTGAGAGCAGGGCTGTACAGATGCTGCGCTATCGCCACTCCACTGCTTGCCATGCTCCCACTCTATCTGGCTGCTTGCTACCCTTCTCCCCCCAACCGGCTCGGTGTCCGGCTGCTTGCCACCCCTCTGGGGGGGTACACTTACTAAAAAGGGGGCTGCCAGGGGTACACTTATTAAAAAAAGGTTGAAAATCCCTTCCCTGGGGGTACAGACAGGCGGGCGGGGACAGAGCGCCTCCATGCACCATCCCGCACTGCTTCTCCATGTCTGGCCGCCAGGGGTACGCTGATCCAAAAAGGTTGAAAACCCCTGCCTTGCACCTGTGTCCTGATCTTGAGAGGTTGTGTGAATGCTCATGGAGACCGCTGGTTTCATTTGGAGCAGTGGATGCTCTGACAGTTTCTAAAAATAAGACTCTAAAATGCTATATTGGGCATACAAAGATAGGCACCCAAAATTAATGATCACTTTTAGAAACGTCTTTGTTCTGTCCCCTTGCTCCCTTTCCCCCATCACCCTTTTATTATTCCTAATACTAATATTATTGCTGTGATTAGGAGTCCCAGTAGTCCTGGTTTAGGACCCCATTGTGTTGAGGTGCTGTTCAGATTCTGAAAAGATCACCCCTGCACCAGTCTAAATATAAAACAACTGAGGTACACAAGGAGATGATGAGACAATATTGGTCAGTGTGATTGGTAGTGGTATCAGCATTCTGGGTGGCTACCATTGTCAAATTTTTGCCAGACATCAGTGCAAAGGAGAGTTTTATGGAGGCATTTGAAGTAGATATCTATGGGGAGTTCCTCTACTTATCTGTAAAATGGCAGTAAGGGCAATGATCTGCTTTATAAGCATTCCTGGGAGGATTGGTTGGTTGGTTAATTAATGTTTATGGAGCTGCCAAGTCTGTTGTTATTTCTTCACAGGTTTTGACTCTGTCAGGAAAACTGAGTAGTCTACAGATTTTTTTCCCCCCCAGATCTGTGCATGGGTTTGTGGCTTCGTGCTGGGTAGATTTAATACAAGAACAAATTGTGCGCGTTTAAAAAAATAGCTGGTAAAATGACTCAAAACAATCTTTTGGTTTCTTGTCTTCTGTATAAAATCCCATTCTGTCCTTCACACAATGTACTTTCAAGCAAGCATACCTCTGTTAATACTCCAGATACTCAAATTTATCCTCTTAAATTTTAACTTTTGCCATGAGAACTTCTTATGGATCTTATTGAAACTCTGCAGGCTGTTGCTTCAGGTCAAAGAGCAAAAAAAAAAAAAGGGGGGGGGAGGGGCGGGGGGGGACTGCATTTTTTTGGATCCCTGATTGTGCAGTGTATGATGTTTAGATGTCTTTTCTGCAGTCCTTAGAATTGGTACATAATTTCAGGTAGCAACTGATCTAGCAACTTTTGAAGTCATGGAAAGCCTCTCAGAGACTTCAGTGAGCCATTTGGGTCAGGTTCTTAGTGGCTTATTATTTTCTATTTCCCAGTTGATATTTTGATAGTTAATTTGGCAGTAGTAGTAACTTGTACTTCTCTGCTTCTCTATTTGCCTTGTTGCACTAAGATAGAAACAATAAATGAATATGGTATGAAAGATGTTGTTTGTTCCCTTTTTAAATTTTATATTCAACATTTGGCAATGAAAAACACCCCCAAACTCCAGACTTCCAAAATATATAAAATTATCTCTCAACACTGGGAATTGTTGCAGAATATATTAAAATTTAAAGGACAGTAGCTTCGGTTTTTGCTGGAGTGTATGCAAATATATGACAATGTATGCAAATTTTATAATCTACTGTTCTTTTGACAGTATATTTTGTCAATTATATGCTTGTAAAATCCTTCTAAAATATAAAACTATTAATAAATTGTTTTATTAGGCTTGATTAATATATGTTATAATCTAGTAAATCTTAACATTTTTCCTTTGTCTTGTAGGAGTCAGGAGCACCTATTCTTACAGATGATGTCAGCCTGCAGGTCTTCATGGATCATCTGAAGAAACTTGCTGTCTCTAGTGCTGCCTGAAATTCTGCAACATACTAAAGACATTGACAAGCTTGAAGCCATATTTAATTTTTATTTTTCATTTACCCTTTTCATTGTGTCTGCAAACAGAATGCTCTGATATGCACAAGCTGCCTAACTAGATTCAAAATGGTGTTGTTTTCAAGTTAGAGCATTTGTTATCAGCAAATGTCTTAATGCAAATTGCAGTTTCTAAAAATGACATATAGGAGGTTAAATTGGAATATAATCAGAGGAAAAAGAACAAAATCTTTTTGGTTACCATGATATTATAATTATTTTTAGACCATTAATGATAACTCTCTCTCTGTCTTTTTTTTAAATGGTTGTGTGTATGATTCTGCCTTGCACTACAAAGATGTTAAACATTACAAAGGAAATCTATAATGGGACTAGGACTCGATTGCTTGGTGCCTAGTTCTGTTTACTCATTTTGAACAGAAAGTAAACAAAAGCAGCAGCAAAAAGCATATGGAATAATATAAACTCATTGTTTTGATTTTGTCCACAGAACATTTCTTTTCTGTAATAGTCAGTCATGTGTTCATGTGTAGTTATTATTTAGAAAAAATATTTTCTTTCAAGTATTCAAATACCAATGATTTTTGGTTACAAAATATTGTATCTTATTTTTTGTTTAAGTAGTTTGAATACACTTGACAAATTTTAAAATAAGCTCTTGTCCAAAGCTCCAAAGCTTAAAGCTTAGAATCCACACATTATATCTTTGACAAAAAACATACTTATTAGTAGTATCAAGCACTACCATATATAAACAAAATTCAAAGAAGAGGACAAAAATAAATATCTGATACTTTTTAAGCTCGGTTAGAGAAAAAGCCTACTTTATAGATGTGAAGTGACTAGAAATGTAGGCTTGACTTATTTCAGCAAGTAAAATATAATTTTTTCTAAAATATTCAGATTATTTTTTTATTATAGCCTTATATTATACTAATTCATGACACTACACATACTTTCTTGCTTCTGTTTCCCTTTGGTTATATAAACCCAGTAAGCTGCAATTCTTGTTAAAACAGTATTATATAGTATATGCTGTGATTGTAATAAATTTGATATCCAGTTTTTGCTTGATTTTTCTTGTAAATTAAGATGCGTACACATTTACTGTTTTAAAGTTTACATATGGAACAGATGTTTACATTGTTAATACTATTTTGGCAGATAATTGACAAGTAGATATGTGAATTGTGGTGATGGATAAGAACAGTTTGTGCAGTGACTGAAGGAAGAGAGCAAATTTGACATAGAAATCCAATCATAAGCTCGTGAGATAGGTATGAATTTTCTCTTGTTTGTAAATTCTGCATTACTTGATGAAATCAGTTGTTGTGTTTTATTCTGTAATTTTCTTTTATCTAAAGGAGATACAAATAAAGTATACATTTCTCTCACTTTTGTAGTTAAGCATTGGTTCAGTAGATGTACAGCTGATAAAGGGGGTGTGAAACTAAAAATGTTGATTATGAATGTCAAAATGACTTTATTTTTGGATATATGGTTGTATAAGGCATCTAACTTCTTGCCTCTTATTTCCTGGATCATCACAGCTACAACATAACTTGATAAAACTGGTTGCAACAGAAACTTCGGTTTTCCAGTAATCAAAATTTTGTCAAAAGTAGCTGGTTTCTGCAGAAAATTTTGATATATTAAACTTAAAATCAAGTGCCTGAGACCTACAAGATTATGATAGTGATGTAACAGAATTTGAATTGTAGTGTGGTTACTTCATGTTCATTTACTTTTCCCTGCACCCCTGCTGGAGCTGTGCAGCTGACAGCTGTACCCACACTGTTGTTGCTTCCCCTGGTCCCCATTCCTGCCCTCCAGCTATGGTGTAAGTGGAGCTCCCAGCTGGACGGTAGCTGTGCCGGTGTCAGGGAACTGGAAGCTGCTGCTGCTTCTCTCTTCCCCCTCTCCACCCCTACTCAACCTGACCACTGTGCAGTTCTGCTGCAGCCAGAAGCTGCACTCATGCTACACTCTGAAGGCAGGGAGAGGGAGAAAGGTGGGAGAAGGAAGCAATGGAGGCATGCACGCAGCTTTCAGCTCCGTGGCCCCAGTTCTTCCCCGTCAGCTGGAAACTGTGCCTGTACTGCAGCCTTTGGGGGGGTGGGTGGAGAGAAATGGTAGTGGCATAGGTATAGCTTCCAGCTCCCAGCCAGGGCACAGCTCCTCACTGCTCAGCCCCAGTGCAGGGACAGGCACAGACAAAGCATGTAGCTCCACAGGCCAGATCCAGTGACTCTATGGATTATACATTACCCACTCTGATGTAGACTGTGATAAGACAGACTATGTGTTAATAAACTTCTTAGTTTTATGACCTAACATGGTCTTACACTTCCCATGTGAAACAAATGTCTTCAGTCTTGACTTACAGTCAAGCTGTAGAAAGAAACAATTGCCTCCCAGCCCAAAAGGCTGCTGGATGCTTCAAGGACAAAGACATCATCTTTAAGGTTCAATGGACAGTCAAATTACATCATTAAGGAAGTAACTGATGTCAACCAGTAGCTATTAACCATCAGTAGGTAGTAACTATTACTAGATATTACTGATAGTAACTATCTGTGCCAGTAGATAGTAACTAGTATCACATTTTTGGCATACTACATGCACCTTTTTGCAGGGGGGGAGGGGGGGAAGGCAGAATGAAGAAAAAAAGATTTATTTCAGAGTTATGGCTACATAAAGCAGGGTCAGTTCACTCATCCTCTCTTTTCTGCTCAGGTGAAAAGCTACAGTTTTAACCCTTTCACAGTGGAATTGTCTGCAGCTCTTGACTGCTCAGCCAACAGCTGAAACTAGCTGCTGCTGAAGCAGCTCCAAGATTTGGAAAAGAGCTTAAAACTGTTTGTTGAGCTATGAAATAGGAGCAAATAGGCCAGGAGCAGCACACAGACAGCCAAATTGCTAAAAAAAAAAAAAAAAAAAAAAAAAAAAAAAGAAAAAGAAAAAAGGTTAGCTTGATTCATGAAAACATCAAAGCCATTAAAAAGGAGAGTCATTAATACTTGTGGAGTGAAGAGCAATTATCAGGAATTAGGTAGATTATATATGCCATAAAGTCAATTGACTCCCTCAGTTCTGCCTGAATAGACAACACTACTGTTTCTGTTGGGCAGTTGGCTTTAAACTTTGGGTAGAACACAAATCAAACGGGGGTGTGACTGCATCATTGCATCCCACCCTTGATCTACCTCTGCTGGACTCCATTAATTCCTCTGTGCAGCTGCTTAAAGGGACAGAAGGAAAAGAAGCAGCAGTCATTTTACAGTGTCTCCCATGGTTCTATTCGTGGCAGAAAAATCAATTTCCTTGATTGTGATATGCACCTCCATTTTGGAAGATTATTTTTTTTTTTGGGGGGGTGAGGGTGATATCTGAGTAAATATGGTATCATCTGAGGTTAACACAACAAAACCTTAACAGAATTCACTAAAGACTCAGAACATTCAGAAAACGTAATTAAACTGGAGGGATAGATAAAGGACACAGCAGAGTTGCTAAAGTACAGTTGCAACAGACCAAGTTCAGGGATAGCTCCTATGGGGGCGTTCCTTTGTGGATCATAGTAAAAGACAATATGAGAAGGTTCAGTGACAGTTGCAAGGGACCTTGGGAGAAGGGCTTGTTCCCAACTACCTTTGTATGTCAGTGCCAAAATCTAATAGTTATGAGTGTTGTGATCTCGCTTGTACTAAGGGGCTGAGATCTAAGAATGGAGTTCCGTCTGAATGCTATCTTTACAGATGAATTCAAATTAAACAAAATATAATGTCCCACAGTTACTGAGGCCAGATGGGAGCCTCTGGTGTAATTCAGGAGATCATGGTTCTGCTGACATGTAAAGGAAGTAGTAGTGGACAGGCTGACTCAATCTTTTCTGCAAAGAGATACAATCCTTAACATAAACTATGGTCTTCCCTTCCCTAGAAGCAGTCTGCTATAGCAGCAAGTACTATTAGATTCTCAGAGTTTGCAGAGAATGCAAAAGAGATATTGAAAAGTTAAGCATTATGGGATGTCTGCTTGCTGCTAACAAATGAGGACTGAAGACTAGCTTGTGACATGACTGATAATTAAGACTTGGAGACAATCTAGAATGTATGTTGTAAAGGAGGGGATAAAACCTGAGATAACTAAGCTATCTACCCCTGCTGTGACTGTGAACAGAGTATCTTTATATTAGAAGGTACCTTATCGTGCTTTAATATCATTGACTTGAAGTTTCCACAGAAACTTAAAGGACATTTTCCAGCTGCTGTGGGAAGTAAGCTATTTATTATGAGCAAGTACTGGTCAATATTTAAAATCAATAATATGTTCCAGGGCCGCACTAAAGGAGAAAATGATTTAAGAATGATAAATTGCTGGCTATTTGTTGTGCTTGTTAGCTTCAGGATTACCTTGGCTTTTTTTTTTTTGGTAAAAAGGTTTTTCTGAGGTGTTCAACCTGTGGACAAATAATGGCCCTCTCACCAGGCTTAGTACACTTAGCTCTGCCTGGAGGTTTTGGAGTGACTTTTTTTGTTATATTTGACATTTAAAATAATATGTACCCTGAACTTTATGTAAACCTCTTCATAGGTCAGATACACATCTGAAGCATTATTCTATCTCAGGGAAGTGGTAGTGGTGCAGCAGGGGGAGGTTGTTGAGCTCAGAAGCAGTGAGAACAAGTTGATGCTTTGCCATGATCATGATAATAGATAAAGTTCTAAAGCGAAGTGATGTCGGAATCTCAGAATGAAACAAGTCTAGAATAAAAACTGTTCCATAGGGAAACAGTGCTTTTGCCCTCAGTGCTCATGTATGATGTTTGAATATTGTCCAACTGTCAATGTTTTAGTTTGGATGTACATACTGTGAAAGCTGGTGCTACTGATAGCATTTCTGTTTTTTTGAGGATGGGCACTCTGGGAAATAATTAGGTTTACCTTGTAGGCACTGACCTCATGAACTTAGCTTCTAACCCTTTGGAGAGGCACAAGGAACAATTTCATAACAGTCTTGCAACATATTCCTTGTGTGGTTCCTACTGTGCAGGAAAAGAAAACTTATGTACAGTGTTTGTAAACTAATAACATTGCAGCAAAGAAATACCTATCATCAACTCTTCTGCAAGATGGAACCAATAGGTAATACCAGAAATGTTGTCTACCTGGTTGGGCAAAAGAGAGGTAAAATTACACACAGTGGACGTGTCTACACATGGTCATTTAATGCGGATTAGCCCAACCTAAACTGCATTAGGGGAGCGTGTCTACACATGCATGCCCTTAATTCAGCTTAAAAATGGTGATTTTATTTAGGTGAGCCTAAATTTGATACATGTCCAAACCAAGCATCAAATTTAAGCAGGATTAGTTAATGCAGCTGAATGCACATGTAGACACATTACTCCATAGTAATGCAAGGAATTTAATCCTGGGTCTGCCCAACCACTAGGGGGCTGGCTGGAACCCAGCCTCAGGGCTCCTGGCTGGCTGCTTTCTGTATAGTTTGCCACTTGTAAGCAGGTTTTTTCTTGTGGGTAGGTGGGGAGGGTGGTGGAGGGGGCACTGTTTGTTGACGGGGAAGGGATGGGGGCGTGCTGTGAGGGTAATAAAGCTTTTTTGTTTCAACCATGTGCATGTTCTGAGAATGGTGCTGGGGGTGGGCAGGAGGTATGGGGTCTGTGGGTGGTGGGGCAGATGGGCTGGAGCAGGGAGTGCAGGAGGAGGGGGTCAGTCAGGGCCTCCTGCAGCCAGTGCCCTGGCTCCTGCTGGTGGGTGTGTGGCTCTCCTGGGACCTGGGCAGGGAGGTGCCTGTTGGAGCCAGCAGGGCCAGCACCATATCCATCAGGAGTGTGGGGTGCTGGTTGTTATTGACAAGGCCTGGGCTGGACCAGTGGCGTGGTGGGCGTTGGTGGCAGGGGCATCTCTGGAGCAGGGAGGCAGGGTGGGCAGAGAGGGAGTTGCCGTGTGCTGCCCCTGTGCTAGGCATGTGGCTCCTGGGCAGGAAAGGGGCTGGCCAGGGATCAAAAGGTGGGGATGTATTTCCAAGATGGTTGCCAACTGCTGGCAGCTGGCTCTGTTTTCAGTATGGCTTCAAAGTGCTGGCAGCTATGCGTCCAGAGGTTGGAGCTCCTGGTGGCCACAGGGGCACGTGGCAGGGCTGAAGCGACCTGGGACTAAAGTTTGTCCCAAGTCCCACCATGTGTAGACAGCTGTCAAAACGCTCTAAATCCACGTTAGTTTAATGTGCATTAAATTTAAGCCTGCTTAAATTCATGTGTAGACATGTCCAATGATGGGGAAAACTACTGTTTACTGCCACTTTTCTGCTTCTAACTTTTCCTGTGTTAATTGGGAGAGCATTCTCTTAATAAAAACCCAGGGAAAAG